AATGTACTACTCAGCCATAAAAAGGAATGAAATAATGTTATGTGCAACAATTTGGATGGAACTATAGACCATTGTCTTAAGTGAGGTACTCAGGAATGGAAAACCAGCATATGTTCTCACTTATAATTGGGATAAATGGCAATACTTACGCTCATGATGAATTGCAATAGATATGAGAAGCTATGGAAGAAGGGTGGGAGGGGAGCAGGGATAAAAATATGCCTGTTGAGTGCAATGTTCACTATTCTGGTGATGAGTACACTGAAAGCCTTCACTTCAGCATGATACAATTCACACACAAAACAAAAAATAAAAAAATATGCATACCTACTAAATTTTTAAAAATATATTAAAAAAGAATAAAAATTTTACATATTTTGTGTTACCTAACTATATAAAACATTATATATTAAAAATACTTATATATAAAATGTACAGTATATACTAAATTTTATATATAGTATCTACATTTTATATATAAATATATAAAGTTACATATGTAGTTATAAAAAGTTATATTTTTGCATCTCATATAAAATATATAAAAATTTTATAACCATGTATATATAAAAGTATATATATAATTTTATATGTGTATGAAGTTTTATATAAAGCTGTGATTCTCAACCTTCCTAATGCCACGACCCTTTAAAACAGTTCCTGTGGGTCATGACCCATAGACTGAGAACCACTGATATAAAGGGTATCCCAAAGGTTACCAGACATGCATACTTAAGAGAAAATGGGAGACTGTAGCTAAATGTACTGTCATTTACAAAATATTCATTACAAACTTTTATAAAATATTTCTCTATTGGTTGATATATAAATATAAAAATATTAAAAGTATAATACATAATATAAAATATGAATTTGTCAATTTTTTTCTATTTATGGTAACCTTTGGTATACCCTGTATACAGACAGTTCCTGAGTTATAAACATCTGAGTTACATATAACTCACACTTATTGAAGCTATTACAGTAAGTCCCTGAGTTATGAAGATTTGACTGACATGCAACTTGCACTTATGAAATGAGGCTATTACAGGTAATACGTAAATGTGTCTGTTCCAGCTTACATACAAATTCATTTTAAGCACAAACCTATGTATTTATCCAAAGGAAAAAAGGACATTTTATCATAAAGACACTTGCAGTTGAATGTGTAAAGCAACACAATTCACTCTTGTAAGGTTGTGGAAACAACCTAAATGGCCATCAATACATGAATGGATTGATCAAATATATATTTGCATGCTATGGAGTACTACTCAGCCATTAAAAAATGGTGATCCACCTGGTGACCATTCTTTTAAGTGAAGTATTGCAAAAATGGAAGGACAAACACCTGATGTACTCAATACTAAGTTGGAAGTAGTTGATCCATACTTGTTTGCACATAGGAAAATAAAACCCATGGGAATCAAATAGGTGGAAAAGAAAAGGAGAGTTTGGGTTAATTCACACCTAACATATGTAATGCACTTATTCTGGGTAAAGGGCACACTTACAACTTTAATCTGAAATGTGCAAAATAAACTATGTAACCAAAACTTGTGTATCCCTATAATATTCTGAAATTAAAAATAAAAAAATTAAAGGAAAAGAACAAACCTACAAAACTTAACTCATTCATAACCCAGGGACTGTGTATGTGTATATATATACACACACTACACACACACACACACACATATATATCCTAAGTTTTATATATGTAAAGTGTATGTATATACTGTACAGGGTGGACATAAAGTTTGTGTGTAATTTAAAATAGTTTAACAGGCCAGGTGCAGTGACTCACACCTGTAATCCCAGCACTCTGGAGGCTAAGATGTGTAGATAGCTAGCTTGAGTTCATGAGTTCGAGACCAGCCTGACCAAGCGTGAGGCGTCATCTTTAAAAAAAAAAAATAGCTGGGCATTGTGGCAGGTGCCTGTAGGGCCAGCCTCTTTGGGAGGCTGAGTCAGGAGGATCACTTGATCCTAAGAGTTTGAGGTTGCTGTGAGCTATGACACCATAGCACTCTACTGGAGGCAAGAAAGTGAAACTTTTTCAAAAAAATAGTTTAACATAATAAATTGCACACTAACTTCATGGACACCCTGTATATAGTTCCTTAAATTATATGAGGTTGAACAATTAAAATTTTCCAAACTTAACCTAGAAAACATGCTACATACCTCATTGCTAAATATCACTACTGTCACCTTCAAAGTACTCGCCAGGGGAAGCTATGCACCACCAGTGGCTAGTTCACCTTCAAAGAACTTTTTCTAGGATGAATTTGCAAACTTAGTTGTCAGACCTCATACAACAGCCCTGATGTCTAGAAAAAGAGCTCCAAAATTGCTTTGAACTGTATATATAGCACCTAATGCAGAGGGGGTTTGTGAAGATTTCAATCAGAGAATATATGTAACCAAATGTATTTGCTTATTGCTGCTGGAATTACCACAAATTACAGGCTTAAAGTCATATAAATTTATTATAGTTCTGAAGGTCAAATGTCTAAACTGTGTATGCCACATTCCTTCTGGAGGCTGTAGGGGAGAATCTGTTTTCCTACCTTTTTCAGGTTCCAGAGGCTGCCTTCATCCTAGGTTTGTGGTTCTTTGGTCCATCATCAAAGCCAGCAGTATTGCAGCCTCTCTCCTGTCTGACTTCTGCTTTCATGATTACATCTTTCTCTCACTCTGATCCTCCTGTCTTCCTCTTATAAGGATGTTTGCAGTTTACACTGTGATCACCCCAATAATCCAGGATGATTTCTCCTTCTCACATCCTTAATCACATCTGCAAGTACCTTTTACCACGAATATGTTAGCATCAAGTAACATTCACAGATTCTGGGGATTAGGATCAGATTGTCCTCGAGAAGGCCATTTTTCAATCTATTGCGTTATATAAATTTAGATAATTACTAATATACTATTCTATGCCTCATATTTGGGTCATTTTTCTTACCATTGAAGTACATACTTAATTATTCTGTAATTGAAGTCCTATGAATGATAATCTTAATTTTTGTATGTATTCAATGATGTTATAACTGAGTCTAAAATTCTTGCCAGACAGTTATTTTCTTTTCAGTATTTCGAAGATATTGATTTATTGTCAATCTGGCATTGATTCTCTAGCAAACCATACCAATAAACTTTTGTTTTTTTTTTAACAGAAAGGATAGGACTCTCAGATATACAGGATTGTATTAATTATAATATTTTTCTCCTATACTCTGTCAGAATTATGCTTTTTAAAACTAATTTTAAAATTATATGTTCAAATAAACACCTGAAAATCCATCAAAGAAGATAAGAATTGGAATACTAAGAAATAATTTTTCTCTACAAACATCTCCATTATTTCATCTTCTTGCTTTCTATTTCTCCTTTGAATTTTTATTATCTTGCCATGAAAGAAAGTTTTACCACATATTATTGTATCTAAATAATATATTTTTAGTTGTTTTTAAAGTATTCAGCATGAGGGTTTTAATAATTGCTTTTACCCCCTACTTAGTTATATTTTACTAAGATTAATCTTGTATTTTCTCTGTGTTATAATATTTCATTGTATGACTGAATCAGAATTTGTTTATTCTCACAGTGATGGAATTTTAGATTTTATACACAGCATTACTTTGGAAGTTCCTACAAATGTCTTCTGTTTGTGTGGAAATTGAATATGTATGTGTGTGGGTCTGTGTGCGTAGGCACTTAAAATGGAATTTCTGAGTTGTAGGGTATACTGATGTTCGGTTTTATAAGATAATGTGAAACAATAGTTGTATACTCCTTCTAGAAATAGGTGAGATATTATTTATTTAAATCCTTTTTGCTTGGTTTTATCAGAACTTGAATGATAGAATGGTAACTTGTGATTATAATTTGCATAGTCTTGATTACTAATGATATTAAACATCTCTTCTTAGTTTTGTTTCTTCTTTTGTGAAATGCCTATACATGCCATTAGTCTATCTGTTTATGTATATTCTGTCCTTTTCTCATGGATTTGCCCTTATGGAGTTCTTTTTTAATTCTTGAGGCTAATCTTTTGTCATGTATATGTTAAATGTTATGTTCATCAGCAACCTCAAACTGTTGGACTCAAGTAATCTCTTGCCTTGGCCTCCTGAGTAGCTGGGACTATTGGGGCCTACCACAACACTGGGGCTCTTGAACTTGTGAGCACAAGCTATCCACCCAGTTTGGCCTCCCAGAGTGCTAGGATTACAGACGTGAGCTTCTGTGCCCAGCTGGATTCAGGGATGATTTTGAATCCAGTGGGATCTATCTCCCTTAGGATCTGTTTCTTTATCTTATCTCAAGGTCTGGGAAAAGGTGTATCCTTCAGCTCTTAGCTGCAGTGAATAATCCTGTGGTCATTCTTGGTATTTAGGTCATAATTGGGACTCTTTCTGCACGCTAAGTCTCATCAACAGATAGACTGTCCTATGTTGATATTGTAGTTGTCAGTTTCATACCTACTATGGAAAATACTAGCATCTCTATTTTAGTAAGAACTACTCTTATCTTGGCCTCTTAATTTTCTCTTATTTGGTTTGCCTGAATCAAACCAGGTAACTTGCCAGGTAAAGACTTTTCCTCCATACATTGATTCTAGGCTTAAAATCTTCAGTTAAAATGTACTTTCATGTAGTTCATCATCTTTATTTAGAAACTTTCTGTATCTTGTTAGATTTTCCTCAGTAATTAAAAAAAGACTTTTCCATATTTCAAAACCTACTTCCTATTGTTCTATTTTATGTGAGGATTTCCCTGAGAAGGACAGCTAGCTTAGTGAATGGTCTAGATTTATAAGAAATATTTGAAGGTAATCAGAATATTATATTAAGCTACATCAGAAGTTGGGAACTATATATGTAGTTTTGAATACCAATAATTATACCTGTCAAATTGTCTTTTATATTAAAGAAAATAATGTAAATATATTTTTTACAGCCAATTACTTCATAATTTAGTTCAGAAAGAATATGGAAACATTCATACCCATTAATTTGACTACTACACATCAAGATGAAGATAAAGAGGAAAGCAACACAAAACAGAGGTAAAAATAAGATATAATGTACTAAGTTTTTTTTTTTTCTGAAGATTCTAACTATACATTTCCAGTGGTAAGCCATTCTGATAGTGAAAAACTTAAATTGTCACAGGAGGATTAATTGAGTTTCTAGAGTTTAGAAAATCTGAGTTTCTTAGAGCAGAATTCCTGCTCAGATAGTCACATTTATACTAGTTGCTGGCTTCTTCCTTCAGACCAACCTTGGATATACCAAAAAAAGTGAGAGGGAGGTTGATGGGTATGAGAAATTACACAACAACTGAGAAATCTCAGGAGGGCAAACTGTATCATTTCTAATAATAATGAAAAGTAAAGTACCTAGAAAATTTACTTTTAAAAATGATGTGGTTCTGACCTTTATGAAGAAAATTATACAGTTTCATTGAGAACTCAACAAAATATATATAAAAAAGCAAAGGTCTAAGAACATATAAGTCCTCTTTAAGAAATAGAAAATGTGAGATTCTTGACCTACAGCTATAAAAACTTATTATCTTCTTATAAAGTTATATTAAGGCAGTGTGATACAGAAACAAAGACAAACAAAATAAAGGACTCAGGGAGAGATCGTTATACATATTTTGAGTATTAGAAGTTGGTGAGGAAAGGATGAGGGTGTTCAGTAATGGTGCTATGATAATTATCTATTCATTCTCGGTGGGTAAGGATCTGCCTCTTGCACCATGCCCCCAAATCAAGGATTTAAGGACTTATATGAATCTAAAAACTTGTGAAAAGCCAAACTTTAGGAATATTGTTAGGAAACCATAAGGTAATTTTGTCATCATCTTAAAATAAGGAAAAATTTCTTAAAGGAGGCATAAATGACACAAACCATAAAGGCAAAAATAGATAAATTATATTACAATTAAGAACTTCTATTTATAAGATATCAAGAAGTTAAAACTAAGTTCAAACAAGAGATATAAAATAACCAAAGATTACTAACAAAAATATATAAATACCTCCAAAACACTGTTAAGAAAATGGGAAACAATTCAGTACCAAAAATAAAAAAAGGACATAGATAAATATTTTAATGGAGAGGAAACGTTTCAAGATGTTTATAAACCAAATTAGAACTCACAAAGTACTCAAAGGAAAAGGATTTAAAAATACCTAGTAAGCTATTTGTAAATAAGTTCAAGAAGTTGTGATTTATTTGTCCTCAAAAAGATGTATTATCATTTGAGATATTTCATTTGACATGAAGGCTATGTTAACCAGTTGGATGAAAGTATTCCAAACTGTATATAGAAACAACCCACTGTACCCCATGATAGTATTAATGTACACAGCTATGACTTAAGTAAAAAAAATACAAATGAAAACACAATATATCAAAACCTGAGGGATAAGTACCTATAAAAGCACACTATGATGAAAGTCTATGGCAATAGTATTTACATCAAAAAGCCAGAAAAGGGACTGGGTGCAGTGGCTCATGCCTGTAATCCTAGGAGTTCTAGACTAGCCTGAGTAAGAGTGAGACCCCATCTCTACCAAAAATAGAATAATTAGCCAAGCATTGTGGCTGATGCTTGTAGGCCCAGCTACTCCAGAGGCTGACACAGAGGATCACTTGAACCCAGAAGTTTGAGGTTGTTGTGAGCTAGGCTTATGCCATACTACTATAGCCTGGGCAGCAGTGTAAGACTCTGTCTTAAAAACAAAAAACAAAACAAAACAACCCATGAACAAACAAAAAACAGTAACCTAATCATCCATCTCAGCTAGAAAAACAAGAGCAAACAAACCTGAAATTAGTTTAGAAAAAGAAACAATAAAGTTCAGAGGAGAAATAAATGAAATTGAAATACATTTTATGAAGTTACAGTATACAAAACATAAAAACTCAATAGCATTTTCATATGCCTATAGCAAACAATCTAGAAAAGAAACCAAGAAAGTAATCCCATTTACCACACCTACAAATAAAATGAAATACCTAGGAATAAACTTAACCAAAAAAGTGAAAGATCTCTATAATGAAACTAGAAAACATCGGTGAAATAAATTGAAGATGATGAAAAAATAATGGAAAGATATTCCATGCTTATGGAGTGGATGAATCAACATTTTAAAAATGTTCATACCACTCAAAGCAATCTACAGATTCAATTCAATCCCATAAAAATACAAATAACATTCTTTACTGAAATAGAATAAATAATCCTAAAATTTATATAGCACCCTAAAACACCCAGAATAGCCAAATCCATCTTAAGCAAAAGAACAAAAGTGAGCAATCACATTACTTGACTTCAGATTATACTAAAATGGTCTTTATCAAAAGGCAATGATGAATGCTGGAGAGGATGGAAAGAAAGGTGAACACTCATATACATATTTAACTAAATATAAAATAGTGCAACCTCTATGGAAAACAGTATAGAGGTTCCTCATAAAATTAAAAATAAAGCTGTAGTAACCAAAATAGCCATGGTACTGGCATAAAAGAGACACACAGACCAATATAACAGAATAGAAAACCCAGATATAAATCCATATATCTATAGTGAACTTATCCTTGACAAAGTTGCCAAGCACATACTTTAAGGAAAGGATAGTGTCTTCAATAAATGGTAATGGGAAAACTGGGCATTCATATGCAGAAAAATGAAACCACACCAATATCTTTTGCCAATACAAAAATCAAATCAAAATGGATTAAAGACTTAAATCCTGAAACCATGAAACTACTAAAAGAAAACATTGAGGAAATGGTCTGGGCAAGGACATTTTGAACAATATGTCCAAAGGACAGGCAACCAAAGAAAAATTGCACAAATGAGATTACATCAAGCTTAAAAGCTTCTGCACAGCAAATAAAACAGTCAACAAAGGAAAGAGACAAGCTACAGAATGGGAGAAAATATTTCAAACTACCCATCTGACAAGGAATTAATAACTGAAATAGATAAGGAGCTCCAAAAACTCAATAGGAAAAACAAATTATCCACTTATAAAATGGCCTAAGCATCTGAATAGACATTTCTCAAAAGAAGATGTATAAATAGCCAACAGGCATGTGAACAAAAAAAGCTCAACATTATTGGAAAATGCAACTCAACAACTATAATGAGATATTATCTTACCCTAGTTAAAATGCCTTTTATCAAGAAGATAGGCAATAATAAATGTTGGTGAGGATGTGGAGAAAGGAATACACTATGCACTGTTGGTGGGAATGTAAATTTGTGCAAACACTATGGAAAACAATACAGAAGTTCTTCAAGAAACTAAAAATACAACCACCATATGACCAGCAGTCTCTGCTGGGTATGTCTCTAAAGGGGCATACAATACATGAGAAAGACATCTGCACTCCCATGTTCATTGCAATACTATTCACAATAGCCAAGATATAGAATCAACTTAAGTGTCCATCAGTGGATGAATAGATGAAGAAATTGTGGTACATATACATCATATACATAATGGAATATTACATAGCCAGACAGAAGAATGAAATCCTGCCATTTGCAACAACGTGGATGGAACTGGAGAAGATGTAAGTGAAATAAGCCAAGCATGGAAAGACAAATCTTACATGTTCTCACTCATGTGGAAACTAAATATTAATATAATTGATCTCATGGAGACAGAGAGTAGGATGACAGTTACCAGAGGCCAGGAAAGGTAACAGGAATGGGGGAATGAAATGAGGATGGCTAAAATGAGGGTGCAAAAATAGATGGATAGACAGAATGAACAGTACTCTTTATGGAACTAGAATGTTTCTAATGCAAATAAATGATAAATGCCTGAGTTAATAGATTCCAGTTATCATGATTTGATTAATATACATTATTGCCTTTATCAAAAGATCCCAAGTAACCTGTAAAGATATATAACTACTATGTATATACCCAAATAATTAAAAATAAAAAAATTATTTTTTTTGGACTATATATGGTAAGAGTATATAATTAGGGTACTCAAAGTGACAGCATTTAATTGAGGATCAGCATATAAAAATAAAAGTTTATATATAACAAAAATTTAAAAATATTTGTATATTAAAATTTAAAAAATACATTGGATAGTAGTTGGTATAAAGGATATGTTAAACCCAAGAATATGGGGAAAGGAAAGAGGGAGGGAAGGGGACGGGGGAGGATGGGTCAAGGGAGGGGTAATGTTGGGATCACGCCTATGATCTATCCTACAAGGGTACATGTGAATCTCTCTAAATGTGGAATATAAATGTCTTAACACAATGACTATGAGAATGACATGAAGGCTATGTTGGCCAATTGGATGAGAATGTTTCAAATTGTATATGGAAACAACACACTGTACCCCATGATAGTATTAATGTGCACAACTATGATTTAATAAAAAAAATTTAAAAAAGAATATGCTCTAAGAATAGGGATAAAAGTTGTTTGGCTCCCCTGAATACCAACATTTCATCACAGATCTTAATTGTAAATAAGGAGAAATATGATGCAATCTCTGACATAATTAAAACTGGGTAAACCATATTAGGTGTGTCCTGGAAAATAGTTTGTCAAGTATTTGTCCAGGTCTATTATAGCTACTGAGCAAATGGATTGGCATGAATGTGCACATCATTAAGAGGTGAAAGTTGTGGGTCTAGTTTCAGTCTTCTACAGGTCACCAACCAGTTCACCTAGCACCATTTGTTAAATAGGGAATCTTTTCCCCACTGAATATTCTTGATTGTCTTATTGAACATCAAATGACAGTAAGTAGCTGGGTTCATCTCTTGGTTCTCTATTCTGTTCCATACATCTGTCTCTCTGTTTTTGTGCCAGTACCATGCTGTTTTGATCACTATTGATTTATAGTATAGCCTAAGGTCTGGTAGTGTGATTACTCCTGATTTGTTTTTATTTCTGAGTAATGTCTTGGCTAATTGAGGTTTTTTCTGATTCCATATAAAGCGAAGTATTATTTTTTTGAGGTCTCTAAAGTATGACATTGGTGCTTTAATAGAGATTGTATTAAAATTGTATATTGCTTTCGGTAGTATGGACATTTTAACAATGTTGATTCTTCCCAGCCATGAAGCATGGTATGTTTTTCCATTTGTTGACATCTTCAGCTATTTCTTTTCTCAATTCCTCTACTAGATATATATCCAGAAGACCAAAAATCACTTTATAACAAAGATATTTTCACCATATGGTTTATTGCAGCCCAATTCATAATTGCTAAGTCATGGAAGAAGCTCAAGTGCCCATTGACCCATCAATGGATTAATAAATTGTGGTATATGTACACCATAGAATATTATACAGCCTTAAAAAAGATGGAGACTTTACCTTTTTTATGTTTACATGGATGGAGCTGGAACATATTCTTCTAAGCAAGTATCTCAAAAATGGAAGAAAAATTATCCAATGTACTCAGCCCTACTATGAAACCAATTTATAAGCACTCACACTTCCCTATGAAAGCTTTAACCCAACTACAGCCCAAGATGAAGGCGAAAGAGGAGGGGGAGGGGGGAGTATGGGTGGAAGGAGGGTAATTGGTGGGGCCACACCTATAGTGGATTTTACAAGGGTACATGTTAAATCTAAGTGTAAAAGATAAATGTCTTAACACAATAACTAAGAAAATGCCATGAAGGCTATGTTAACCAGTTTGATGAAAGTATTTCAAATTGTATATAAAACCAGCACATGGTACCCCATAATTGCATTAATGTACACAGCTATGATTTAATTAAAAAAAAATAACAAAAAAATTGTAACAATAAAAAGATTTTGGTTTTTATCCTTTTGTGAATTTGTTTTTCTTTTTCCATAAAGGAGGGCAATATATGCACATAAGTATGAAATTTCAGAAAACTGTGCTCTGATTCCACTCTAACAGAAACTTAATTGGGTAACATTTCTTCATCTTCTGAAATGAGATCAAGATTCTAAGTCTCTTCCAGCTTTAAATTTTCAATAATAATGTTTTGTATATATTTTATTATGCTGGTCCTAGTTAGACCTATCTAGTATTTAATATCTAGAGTCTCCATGTGAATTTTTCAGATGTGCTTTTGAAAGTGCCTATGAAAAATTACTTGCAAGGATATATAATTACATAGTATTGTAAAGTACAGAGTAAGTATTTAATCGTAAAGTTCTAGAGAATGTTATAGGATTTATTAAAACTAAGAAGCTATTTTACTTATAAATATGAAATTTTAGGTAATATGCTCATATTTTATTGGTGTGATTATTCATTTATTTTCTCAGAATTGTTTTCTTTGTTATATTAGACCTTTCAAATGTGAAAAGCAAAAATATAAAGATGTCAAGAGATTGGGGAAACAACCAGCTGAAATAGCAGAAAAGGAAACAATGAAATATAAAAGAATTAGAACATCCTCTAAACGCTTGAGGTCAGAGAAAACAGAAGAAACTGATGAAGATTATTATCCAGGCATGTTGATTTATGTTCTCTTTTATGGGGATGAAAAGAAATTTTCATAGAATTAAATTAAGAAAGCAAGAAAATAAAACAGTGAAACACTAGAGTCTACTTACAAAATGTTTATTAGTCATAGCAATTAGCAATGCCTTCAAATACAAAGCTTGCTTTTTAAAGGGAACATAAACAAAATAAGATAATAAAAGTAATACAAATATCACAAACACCACTGATATGTCAGAATATCTGATATTTCTATAGCAATTTACAGTTTACATCATTCTTTCATGCAGGTCATTTCTTTCCTTCCCCCTATTCCTTCCTTTCCTCCTTCTTTTTTCCTGCCTTCCTCACTCCCTCCCTTCTTCCTTCCTTTTTTTCCCTTCTATCTTTTTTTTTCCTTAAAAGGTTAAAGGCAGGTCAAAATTCTGTTAAGTCCCGAAAGCCTTCTGGCCGTTGCTGTACTAGCGTCCTGATTATTCCTCCATATACCTCCATTTTTAAAGTTTTCTTTCCTTCTCCCTTGCCCAAATTCTCCCATTTCCAGAATTATAATTTTTTTTAAAATCACAGCTTCCTTTTTAAATACAGCTCTTTCATATTCACACTTTTTATAAGTTTTTAGCTTCACCTGCAGCGTTTGTCTCCAAGGGTAGCTGTACTTCCTCTCTTTTAAGATGAATCCACCACCTCATTCTGGAGCTCAACTTCTGCCATATCTATAATAGAACTTCAGATCCATCGTTATCTTCTCTCAAATCTTTTCTACTGTCTCTTTTCTGTCAGCATGCAAACATGCTACATGCTTAACCATCTTAAGCAAAACAGAACAAATGAGAAATAGCTTTAGTTCTGTGTTCTCTTCTCACACTTACCACTATATGATCAGGCTTCTTCTTGGAAGAGTAGCGTAGACTTCCTACCTCCACTTCCTTCTGATTTGCTCCTGACCTGGATTCTGCCTCCTTCGCTATACTGATCAGACTCTTCCCAGGTCACCAGATACCCCCTGTTGGCTATAGCTTTATAAAAATAAGTAATTTATAAATAAAATAGTTTTTATGTTATGGCACTATTCTGCAACATTGCATTCCTTGACCACTTATTTTCTTTCTTTTCCCTTGATTTTTGAGGAAAACTATTCACCTGGCTTCCTTTCTGCTACTCTACCTGCTCATTTTCAGTCTCTTTAATGGGTTTTAATTTCTGTTAAATGTTGTTGCTTCTCAGGTATTTTAGAGTCTGCCACAATTATAGTTTCCTTTTCTTTCTGGACTAGAAGATACTTCCATTATTTTAAAGAACAATACATAGTCATATTGATGTTTTCATCAACAATGAACTGAAGGCATAATAGTGGTCCTATGAAATAACAATACATATTTTTTACTGCACCTTTCCTATGTTTAGATACACAAATACCATTGTGTTACAGATGCCTATAGTATTCTGTACATTAATGTATGCAGGTTTGTAGCCTAGAAGCAATAGGCTATATGCCATGTGGTCTATGTGTGTAGTAGAATATACTGTCTAAGTTTGTGTAAGTACACTGTGTGATGTTCTCACAGCAATGAAATTGCCCAGTGATGCATTTCTTAGACTATATCCCTGTCATTAAGTGATGCCTGACTTTATTTCTTCCTGTATTATATATTAAATATTATACATACTGCAAATATTATTTAGGTATATACCTGCAGTTGTCTTTATCCTCCATCTGAAGATGTGTATCTTTGATTTCCTGAAGCGACCTGAACTCCAGATCTTCTGGCCTTCCCTGGGTCAGAATGTTTTAATCAGACAGATTAAAACAGAGAGAGAATCTGGACCTTACTTAGCTAGTGTTTACTTACTTATCTTCTTTTTCTTTTTTTTTTTTTTTTTTTTTTTTTTTTTTTTTTTTTTTTTTTTTTTT